TAGGGGAAACCAGGACCAAGCAAACTATGGCTACACTGAATGAACTGCTTATTGCATTAGCCACATCTATGGTGCTTGAGGGCAGGGGTTTTCAAACTTTTTCAGGCTGTGGAACATATTTGTTAAAAAAGAAAATCCTAGAAAACCCTGATCAAGAGGCAAAGCTACAGTGATGGAAAACTGGCTGTGTTCAAGTGTGCTTTCAACAACAGGAGGAGGGAGAGAGTCAAGGTGGCCAGAAAGGACCCTCTCTCTTGGACACACAACACCAATGTTTACACTGTACAACAAAAGGAAGCTAAGCAACATTTCAGTTCCACAATGCCTTTTCTTACCGCTATTCCCTTCGTGTGTGGATTGGCTGGGGAAAGCAAGGCTGGGAACAACCTTTCCAGTTCATTCATATCCAGTTGTTTCCCATTGACATCTGGATCTTCCCTGTCCCTCTTAGTAGATCCATTTAGAGCCTGGCCAGTGACATTTCTTGGTCCTCTTGAGATCTGTGGGGTTGACAGCTGCTCTTGCACATTTTTACACATCAGCAATCTGTGGAAATGAGGGGAAGAGAAACATGGTGTTGTCCTTTCACAAACATGAAAGAAGTCACATTGTCGGAAGATCTATGGGAAGGGATCAGGACAGGATTTACTTGCAAGAGGTCCTGGGTTCATTGAGAAAGAAGTTCATCTGAAAGTTCATATGGGAAGCCATCACTAGTCAGTGTAAATCAGGGGAATGAACTATCTCTTGGTGGCTAGAGGTGCTCTTAACTTTTCTGTAGACCAAAAACTGCAAAGAGGCAGGTCACTTTCATGAGCAAAGCTGGGGTTTTCTCATTCCCCCCTCCCCCACATTCCTGGAGGAAATTGTGGCTTTTTTTGATCCCCCAGAACTTCCATCACAGAAAACCAGGATGGTGTAATGGTTAATATCTAGGGCTAAGACCAGGAAGATCCAGATTCATGTCTGCTCATTCAGTGGGCCTTTTAGAGTTTGGTTCTGAGGAAAAAATGGATAAAGGAGTGCTCTATGTGCCATCTTAGTTTGGATATAAATCTAACCAATGATAAACATATACTTCTTATCTTAATAAGATGGAGATCTTAATGCTGATTTTCAACTCTTAAGCTGCAGAAATTTAGCATTAAGGATTCTAAGGCATAAACAAACAAGTATGGGTCTGGATCTCCTGAGGCTCTGTGAACATACACTGGCCACCTCAATGGAGACAGTGTTTTTCAAACTTGGCAACTTTAAGATGTGTGGACTTCAACTCCCAGAATTCCCCAGCCAGCATGGGGAGCTAAAGCCCACACACCTTAAAGTTGCCAAGCTTGAAAACACTGTGCTGGATGGATCAAGAATCTGGCTTGGAAAAAGACAGGCTCCCATGTTTGTTTGGACCAACTGTAGCTCCATGGTACAGGACCCGCTGTGTGGAAGAGTCCCTCAGTTCGGTCTTGGAGATTGTATGGTCAGGCTGAAAAGGAAGCTCTGCAGAAGTGCTATTGGCCAACGCAAACACCATGAAGTTAAGGAGACCTATAGTCTGACTCAATACACACAGCTCATGAAACTCTCACGTCTGTCTAAACTGCCCAGTGACGTTAGCACGGGATAGCTAAGAACCAATGTTGGGCAGAAAGGGAACTGTACCGTCCTCTGTAGCCAAACATGAGGAAAAGGACACAGAAGATGATGCAGGTGACTCCAATATGGATTCCAATGATGATCCCAGTAGCTGATGTCTTGTTGGTTGACTCATCCTTCATGCAATTACATGGTGGGTTCAGGCCTAAGGTGGGTGGAAAGATGAAGGAAAGCCCCCTTATACTTCTGACAACTTCTAACACAAATTGTGAGACAGGAAGACAGGTACCCTGTATTCTCTCTCACATCCACTCCTATAGGGTCAACACCTTCCAGCAGAAGACTCACACAGCCATAATTAAAATCCTAGAATTGGGAGGGCCAGGGATTCCAACCCCTATTCCATGCAGGAATTAAAGCATTCCTGGTAGACACTGTCTGGCCCCTGCTTGATGGCATCCAGCATAGAGAAGCCCATCAGCAACCTCACTGTCAAACTGGTTTTTACTATTAGGAAGGTCTTTAGTAGCTTTTAATCAGATGCCCACTGAATGAAGTTTTGACCAGCTGCATTCTTGATAAGGAATCCTAGTTCCACAAACCACACACTTGGAATGGACCATTGAGACGATGGAGGCCAAACTTTGGTTCCATGCAAGAGTCCAAATTAAAGTATCCCTGATAGATAGTTGTCCATCCTTGAACACATGCAGTGAAGGAGAGTTCCCCACCTCCCTTGGTCACTGGTTCCACTATTAAACTTCTTTTACCATGCATACAACCAAATTCTGCCTCACTCTAAAGTAAGACCATGTTTCCATACCCTCCCTCCATCCCTCCGTCCCCTCCATTCCCCAAAGGAGGGGTCAGGATTAAAAGTCAATTTGTCTGGACTTACATTCACTTATTATTTGTTCCATAAATAGGATTACTTCTCGGGCATACATATTAATAACTTTTTCCTTCTTTTGCATTAACAGTTACAATTTGTAAATTCTTGAGGGAGCATCCAAGCCTTTTGAGTAGATGGTACTCTTATAATTTAAAGCAATTAAGGGAAGCTTAATATGAGAAAAGCTGTAATGCTTTTCAGGAAATGCTTTGAATTCTGGAGTTCTTGGTGGTCTCTCAGCTTGGTTGTTTGCTTGTAGATGTTCCATTGCTCAACTAGGTAATATCATCAGTGTGAGTAAGTGTGGGGTTTGCTGCTTGTTTATAAACCCCACACTCACTCACACTATTGATGTTACCACTGATGATGGTAATGAAATGTCTGCAAGCAAACACTAAGCTCAGAGACCACTAAGAACTCCACAGTTCAACTCTGAGCTACAGATATTCTCTTCTATTGGATGCCTTGAATATACAAGATACACATGGGAACAACAATTACTTTATAAAAGATTGGAAACCCTTTCTGGACTTTTTGCTGAAAATGGACAAAAATGAATTAATCAGTGATCTTGGGATGTGCTGATTAGAAAGGGTTGTTTATGAGAAGAAGGGAACTAAGATATGAAATTTGGGAGGGTAGAAATGGTAATAATCATGCTTGTAACTGCTGCAAAAAGATCGGAAGTCGCTTCTTTAGATTTTTTTTTCCTTTTCTTTGTCTCTGTTTTTTGCATTTTCTTTTATCTTTTAATATCTTTTTTACTGTACTTTTTTCTTAAGTTTCTGTAGTTTTTAAATTCTGTGTAAAATTGTATATGTATATGTATATGTAACACACACAATTTTCTCAGTTGCATTTTGGCCTATTCTCCCTTTCCCACCCAGCTTTTCCCACCTCTCATTCTTCAACCCAGACATCTCCCAAGCTCCTCCAGGTGAGCGGAGCCTCTCACCTGTTTTTTCAACCGTTTCTCGAAGGGACACAAAACGGATGGTGGCATTCCCATCACCATGTTGGTTGTAAGCAAGCAGTTTGACTTCATACACTACTGATGGATCTGGGAAGAAATGGGGATGTATGGGGGGGGAGAGATACAGTTAGGTCAATCAACTGCAGGTATGTGTTCAGCGCATAAGGCAAACCCATTGCTGTTTTCTCCCCACAACTCTACAACAGGGGTGGGCAGCTGTCAGCCTGAGTACCCTCTTTTAGGGGTTTCTGGAACCCCCCTCCCCAAGATTATGCTGTCTAAATTTGACCACAAGAACTGGAAATGGGTCAGGATTCTTGAAGCGAAGTGCGTAAAATCTCCATTTGAATTAATTTTTTTTTTAAATGCACAACCTCCCAAACTACAAGCAAAACAATAGAAAAAAGGAGATCTGAAATTTTTCCACTACCATCCAACTCCCATCTCCACCCCGCACCAGCCTTGGAGGATGAAAACCATCAAGAATTTTGGCGTGCTTAGCTGGAAATAGTCTACTATCAAAGGAAACATTGGCAAGCAAATCAATGGGGATAATGGGGAAGGTGCTGGAATAGGAGTGGGGAGAAACAGACTCTACTACTCCCTTATGCACAGATGGCTGAGTGGCCATCCCTCCCTCTCAGTCCAAAAGGGAACTGGGGAAGGTGCTGACCTAGGAGTAAGAGACCCAAGTTCTCATCCCCCCTCAGCCATGAAATTCATAGGAGGATTTCAGGCCAGATTTTCTCTTGTTATTAATCCAATCATCGAACAAATCAACCCAGGCTCAAATTATCCTACTTTGGACACATTATCCAAAGACCCAGCTCTCTGGAAAAGGCTGTAATGCTGGAAAAGGTGGAAGGAAAGAGAAGAAGAGGACGACCAGCAGCAAGGTGGACAGACTTAGTTACAGCAGCAATGGGGGCACCACTGGAAGACCTGAAGGACGAGGTTGGGGAAAGATCATCATGGAGAAAACCTATCTATGTGGTCACTAAGAGTTGACAATGACTTAATGGCACATAATCAATCATTAATCAATCTGCCCAAGGGCATGATCTTGGGGAAAGCCCCCAGCCTTCTCTTTTTCTCTACACCCATTCCTCTTCTCTACTTACCAAGATGAGTAATGTTGCAAGAGGTGATGTTGCTGGGCAGAAGTATGGGCCCCGTGAAGTGGGAAAGGTGGACTTTGCGATAGTAGAGTTTGAACCCTTCATGCTGGCCCAGTTTGATGGAAGGTTCCCACGTGGCTTGAACGGTGGTGCTGTTGAGAACTTTAATGAAGAGGGAAGGCATTGCTGGTACTGAAAGGAAGCAGAAAGGAAAGAAGGGCCTGGGTGCGGTCTTCTTTCTCCCTCCAAGCTTAAAGCCAGTATATCTCAAAGAGACTTTGGGCCAAAAAGCATGGAAATAATTCAATTCTTTTCACTGTGAGCCCTTGCCTTAAGCCAGTGGCTGCTTAAGCTGGCAACCCTCAAACATCAGGAGCAGCCCCAGGATGGCACTTTGGATGCACCCTTGATCTGAAGGAAGCACAGAGGCAGAATCACAAACCATAAATCAAGCTAGGATGGAGGTGCTGAGCTAATGACTAACTGTGCCTGCTCATCCATTATGGAGTCTAAGGCCTAAACTCTGTTCTGCCAGTGCAAAGTTGTTTTTTAAAAATGCCAGAGCTTGTGGCAGGGAGGAGAGGAAGGGATGGCTTGGAGCATCAGTGGCGCTTGGAGCATCAGTGGCCTCTATAATTTATTAACATGTTACCAGATCCACAGCAGTAGCATTTAATGAGTTGGAAAAATGTGGTATCAAGCTTGTGTATTTAAAAAAAAATGACAAAAGGAAAAACCCCAGACTTTATGAGGCTGCAAGCTACTGTCTTGAACTCCAAGGCTTTGGGTCAGTGGTTTGAAGGGTTTTAAGCCTTGCTGCATTTTCACTGGAGAACCAGAAACCATGGGGGAAGGAAAGACTGGTCATCTGAAAGTGGTCTGTAAAGGAGAAATCCTTTATATGCAGATGTTGCAAGGGGGCCCGCCAGGTGTGCAATCGTGAGATTGGAACTGGCAGATATTGTCACAAATCCTCCTCTTCGTTTTTTAAATTAAGTGAGGAGGTAATTTCATTTGGAAAAAGCTGGCACTATCTGTGAATCTATCCAATTAAGGTTCTGCAATTTTTTTTTTTCTCGGAGCAGAATTCTTACAAAAGTGAAGACAGACACCATGACCTGAGATGGTTGGGCCAATAAGTGGGGAGGGATGACCTTGACTTATCCATTAAGCTGTTTCATAGCCACAGTGACTATTGGCTTATCTTGTCAAGTTCTGCCTAGCCTCCAAGATCCAAGTATAAGCTTTGATCAAACAGTTCCCCCACCCACCCAGAACTGAAATTGTGACCTTCACAATGCCAAGTTGATTTCTACCGCTGTGCAGTATCCCCTCCGCAGAACATCTAGACCTGCAGCTGATTCTTCTTACCTTCTCCCAGGGTGCTCACCACCACAACATCAGAGGCCTTACTGGCACCACGAGAGGTATAGGCTTTTATATAAAAACTGTAGCTAGTGGAAGGCTCTAAGTCTGTCACAAGCTGCTGGAAGGTGTTTTTACTGACGGCTTCTTGATATTCCATTTCCACTGGATCTGAAATACAAGAGGAATGGGTCAGGAAGGAAGGAAGGAAGGAAGGAAGGAAGGAAGGAAGGAAGGAAGGAAGGAAGGAAGGAAGGAAGGAAGGA